TGCATGTGTATGAGTTGTGTAGAATTCGTTATATGAAAGAGCGTGTTCTACCGCTGCTGGCGGAAAACCGGGGGGGGTCACTACCGGTTCGAACCCCTCCCCCCCCCCCCCCTCGGAAAACCGGGGGGGGGTCACTACCGGCTCGAACCCCTCCCCCCCCCCCCCCCCAGCTCATCATGAAAAGGGGGGGGGGGTCACTACCGGTTCGAACCCCCCCCCCCCCTCGAAAACCGAGTGGGGGTGCGGACAGTGGTGGGGACGGTGTTGGTGGGGACAGTGGTGAGGGGATAGCGGGACAGTGGTGGGGACAGTGGGACAGTGGGACAGTGGTGGGGACGGTAGTGGTGGGGACAGTGGTGGGGACAACAATGGTGGGAACAGGGGGGGACAGTGGACAGTGGTGGTGACGGTGGTGGTGGGGACAGTGGTGTGGGGACAATGGGAATGAGGTGGAAACAGTGGGACAGTGGAGGGTACAATGGTGGTGGGGACAGTGGTGAAGGCGGTGGCGAGGACGGCGGTGGGACAATGGGACAGAGGTACAGTGGGGACAGTGGTGGGGACAGTGGGGACAGTGGTGGGAACAGTGGGACAGCTCAGTGGGACAGCGGAGGAGTCAGTGGGACAGTGGGGACAGTGGGGATAGTCGGGCAGTGGTTGGGGCCGTGGAGACAGTGGGGAGAGTGGAACCGTGGTGGGAACAGTTCTGGGGACAGCGGGGACAGTGCGACAGTGGTGGGGCCACTGGTGGGGACAGTAGGGGCGGTGGTGGAACCAGTGGGGACAGTGGTGGTGAGGACAGTGGTGCTGGGAACACCAGTGGGGGATGTGATGCGGACGGTGGTGGGGACCGGGAGTCGTTTGCTGGCGGTGAGCAGGGGGGGGGGGGGGGGGGGGGGGGGTTCGAACCGGTAGTGACCCCCTCCGGTTTTCCGGATCCGAGGGTAAGGGGGGGGGGGGGGGGGTTCGAACCGGTAGTGACCCCCCCCGGTTTTCCGGATCCGGAGGGGGGGGGGGGGGGGAGGGGTTCCAACCGGTAGTGACCCCCCGGTTTTCGAGCGGGAGGGGGGGGGGTTAGGGGGGGGGGGTTTTGCCGGGGGGAGAGGGGGGGGGGAGGGGGAGGGGTTCCAGCAGGGGAGGGGGGATTTTCGGAGGTGGGGAGGGGGCGACCCCCGGGTTCCGGAGGAAAAGGTTGGCAATTTTCCACAGTAAAGCGGCAGTGGATCACGCTCTCTCTATGCATCTGTATCGGACTCTGCATGTTGTTATGCATATGTGTATGTATACGTGCATATGCATTAATGCGCGTGTTTGTGTATATGGATGTGTATGTGTATGTACATGCCGAATTATGTATATATGCAGATGTAACCACGCATGCGCAATTCCATGCATATGTATCTGTAGATGCATGTGCATATGCCTGTGATTTGATGTGTATGTTGGTGTATATGTATGTGAATGGCTATGTCTATGTATGTGTGTATATAGACTTATGGTGTGTGTATAGATGTAAACGTATGTACACTTGACGTCGTATGTATATGCATGCGCATCTGTATATGGGTAAAAAAATATAAATGCATGTGTGCGTGCATATCTTGATGTATATGTGTATAAAATTGTGCGCGTGCATGTGTATGCGTACGCATGTGCACATGCCCAGGCATGCCAATGTGTACATGCGTACGTAGACGTGTACATGTGTACATGTGTATGTGTACACCTGTGCACATCTAAGTATGATTTCATACGTGTGACATGCTCTTCCCCTCGGCCTTCCAGGCGGCTACGACGATGAAGGTGTGGAGGAGCAAGATGAGGAACAGGAGGAGGAAGGAGGAGCAAAGCAATTGTTTCAACAAATCAGATCTTAAGACTGAGCTTGAAGAGGGGGGGTGGGGGGGGCCTTCTTGTCCTTGATGGCCCAAATGTCACCGATGCTGAATGCAAACACTAGTGGTGAGTGATCTGAGTATTCCTCTCTTCCCTCATCCTGCTGCACGTGCATGTCGGTGGGTAGGCCGTGCAATCGTACTGGATCCGCCTCACGTGTCCTTGTGACATGGGTTTCGAACCTCTCGGGCTTAGGATTAGCGAGCAAAGATCGAACGACGAGGACAACCAACACGACAACACATTTGGAGGAACATAACAAACTTAAACATACCCTTTCGGATGTCCGCACGGGTTTCCCAAATCGACGCTGGACCCCCATGTCTGGCGCGCGGAGCGCGCCAGGGGAGGCACAACATGCGCCACAAAGGGGGCCCAGCGCAGATCCAAGAAATCTGCGCGGAACTCCGAACATAGATGTTAAACATTAGAGAAACGACAGGCGGACTGGGGCTTCTCGGCAGCAGTCAGGCCTTCTGAACAGATTTCTGCGTCTTCGGAGAAGGCCCATAACACTTCTCAGAAGGCCGGAGGCCTCTCCGAACTTTCCGAAAAGGCCCGCCCTTTCTCACTTCCCCCGTGAGCTCGCCGCCGACCATGCGGGAAACGAGAGGAGGAAGAGGAGGAGGAGGAGGAGGAGCAAGAGGAGGAGGAGGAGGAGGAGCAAGGGGAGGAGGAGGACAAGGAGGAGGAGGAGGAGGAGGAGGAGGAGGGGGAGAAGGAGACGAGGAGGAGGAGGACGAGGAGGAGGAGGAGGGGGAGGACGGGGAGGGGGAGAAGGAGGACGAGGAGGAGGAGGAGGAGGAGGACGAGGAGGAGGAACGCACGCGTCAGACGAAGTCTCGAGGGTGAGCGCCGCCGTCCCCAGGGCGGCCAGGAGTGGGCCCCGGCGCCGTCGCACCTGCGTGAGACGGGGAACGCACGACGAGAAAGCCCGGGAGCCCTCACCGGGTGGCGTTTGTCTCGACGCGAAGCGAAACTCATCACGGGAGCGAGAAGACGAGGAGGAGGAGGAGGAGGAGGAGGAGGAGGAGGAGGAGGAGGAGGAGGAGGGAGAGGAGGAGAGGAGGAGGAGGAGGAGGAGGAGGAGGAGGAAGACGAGGAGGAGGAGAAGACGAGGAGGAGGAGAAGACGAGGAGGAGGGGGAGGAGGAGAAGGAGGAAGAGGGCCAAGATCTAACCGTAGGCTCAGGCAGCGCGGTGGGCGGCGGCGGGAGCCCGCGCGGGCTCCCGCGGCGGGGGCGGCGGCAGCCGCTGCCGCCGCGCCCGCCAGGGCAGCACCGGCACGCACGCACGCCCCGGCGTGCCGTCCACGGGGCGGAGGAGGTCATCTTTTTGTTCGACGACACCTTGGGCTGTTCATTGGGGGGGCCGCGGCTGATAACCTATCATTTTCAATGTTTGGTAACCTCTCGTATGCCCGCGGACACGAGTAATGCGCACCCCTTCGGACCTGCGCAAGCGACGGAGGGCAGCGCGCATACAGCGCGGACGCGGCCGCAACAACCCTCGGCAACACCAAGCCCTGAGGACCCGCGCGCGAAGTGCGACTGGGGGCAAGTCCGCAGTACCCTGGACGCTCTAATGGACGCGGGGGGTCATCGCGCAGCGCGCGAAGCGAAGAAACCAGGGTCGGTTGACGAAAAGCATCCTGCTTGTTGATGCGCGGCCACAATGTGTATGTTTTGATTGGCAGCGGAGTGGTGGCCAGCACTGCCGATGAGCGTCGCGCGCGGATGGGGCAGCGAGGGCAATGACCTGCAACATGTAGCCCCAGACTCTAGCTGAAGTGGCAAGGCCGCACCCACTCTGGGCAAGTGCAGGGCGCGGGCAGGAGCGTGGCAGTCGGCGAGGCGAGGGCAGCCTTCGCGACCGCCGCAGACGAACCAAGCGGACATTCACACACGAAGCACCCGCACCCCCGATGCGCATCTCGACGCACAATCCACGGAGCAACCGCGCATCGAGCGGTTTCGCACGGATGACGAGACCGGGCGGAGGGCGGCCCTACTTGCCCACGTTGCCATCTATTGATCTACGCCCTATGTGAGCCTCCTTGCCAGCGCAGGGTCGAGGCAGCCATGTGGCAAAAGCTTGGCAATCGGGTCAGCAGGCACATCGCCCTTCTAGGCACACAATACCTAACGTAACTGACCACAGGAGCCAGAGCACAATGACTAAAACTAGCACTGTATGGTACTGGCTCCTTGAACACAAGAGCCGTAAACTCCAGGGGGGGAAAACTGTCGGGGCTCTCGGCGACTGACTTCAAGGCGCCCCATCACGGTCAAACGCTGAATGGCTCGCAAAGACCGAGACTGCACAAACTCCCAGAAAAAAGCGACTTCCGAGTTCCCCAGAGTTCCGGACAAACGAGTGGAGGCTGGCTGGAGGAGGAGAACTCTGGTGTCTCGGGATCCCTTGGAACACAACTGTGAACCTACGCACGCTCCTGAGGCTGAGCGCGGTACTCTCCTGACTTCACGAGGCACTGGATTACCTTCGGGCCCTTCAGCGAACAGCCTGCTTTTCTGATACCCCCCTGAACACGATGGACGCACACCTGGGTCTCATCCGCCGACTTCCTGAAACTCGAGACGTGAACAGCCCGATACGGCACATGTCCTGGCGCCAGTATTGCTGATGAAAAGGCCTTCTTTAGAAGACGAGAAAAGGCCATAGACATACACTTTTGGCGCTCCGCGCGGATTTCTTGGATCTGCGCTGGACCCCCCTCCCTCCAAGCTCCTGCAAAGGGGGCGTTAGTAAACAGGCCGGTAGCCAAGGATGCATTTTCAATAGTGTTTTCAAAAAACTGATTTGCCGCGCACACGTGCGAGGGAAATCCCCCCATCCAGTGTTATGACGATGTATCGACGTTTTGAGAAGGCCTTCTCCCTCTCACTCCCCCCCCATCGCTCGCCGCCGAAATGAAGATGCTGCTGATGCTGCTGATTATGATGGCAATGAGCACACGCATCGCCAACGCTGCGCCACGGCACCATCATGGTGACCACCGCGTCACCAGCCCCGGGAGCAGCCGCACGCGCGGCCGCTTCGACCAGGCGCCGACGGCGGGCGGCCGTCCTGTCGGTGTCCGAAGGGTCATTGAAAGTCTTCGTCGTCCTGGCGGCGGAGCGGGCGAGGCGCAGCGCCACCCTCCCCCGCGGCAACTCATGAGAGCCCCCCACACCATCGACGCTACTCGACGCTACTCGACGCTGAAACGACGCTAGTCGACGCTACTCGACGCTGAATCGACGATACTCGACGCTGAATGGTTGGCCCTTTCGAATCGACGCTACACGACGCTGAATCGACGCTAGTCGACACCAAGTCGGCGCTGCCTCACCGAGCACCAAGCGCCCATCGGAGCTAGAATGCACTCCAGAGACGGACCCACGAAGGTGCGGCAAGTCCGTGTCGTGGCAGCCCCAGCGTTGGCTCCGGACAAGGCGAGGACCGTTCCACCTTGAACGATCGGCCGCTTCCACCACGTCCAAGCGCTCCACATCGACCGATTCTGTACACAGGCCGCGGCGACAACGACAGCGAGTCCTGTTCAAAATGAACAAGAACTGCTGTTGGGCATTGTACCCATTCTTTCCGTACCCATGTCGGTCGTCCCGATTCAACATTGAACGATCGGCGGTTTCCGACACGTCCAAGCGCTGCACATCGACCGATTCTGGGTCTCGCGCCGGCGCCCAACGGGTGAACGCCGACGGCGGGGTCGCCGCCGGTCGACAGGACGCGAGTGAACCGTGTACAAGGCTTACGCAGCTCCCATCGCACTTGAGTTTCGAGCACCCAGAAAAGTATCGAAACAGTGTCGAACGAGTATCGCCTCCCAGGGCACGACACGTGAAACCCTCGAGTTTCGGCACTTTCGCTTGGTACCCGAAATTCCTTCTGGCAGTCTGGGCCAAAGCAGGCTGGAACATCATCACACAAGGCGCCTATGGTGTGCTGCCGAACCACCACCACCCTCTCCGAGTGCCAGGGGCCGCGGAGGCCCTCCGCGATGCGGAGCCCGATGTTCTCCACGCCGACGTCGGCGGTGTGAGCGCCACCGGTCGACAAGACGCGAATGGACCGTAGACCGAGGCGCCCGTGCTGTGCCACCGAGGCGCCACTACCCTCTGTGGGGCCGCGGGAGAGGCCCTCCGCCCACCCGCGGGCCGGAGCGCGAGAGCGGGGGACGGGCGGCAGCGGCGGGAGCGGCCGCGGCGGGGAGAGGGCGAGGAGACCCGCCCAGGTCAGGACTCCTCCTGGCCCCCCCTATTCTTGGGCGTTCGGGTCATCAGGTCCGATGGGCTCGCTTTCCACCACCACCACCACAAGTTGGAGGGGGAGGGGCTCCTCCTCCTCTTCCTCCTCCTCCTCCTCCTCCACCTCCTTCCCCCCTGCAACTTATGGTGGTGGTGGTGGTGGTGGAAAACAGGCCTATCAAGGTCAGCTTGACTGTCCTTGCTTCCCCCTCGTCCCTCGGCGCTCGCTGTGTGCTGCGTGGCCCGGCCTTCCCCGCGGAGAACCCTGGGGTGCCTGCCGCTTGGGGCGCCTGCCTGGCGCCCCCGTGGCCTGCGCAAGAAAAGGATACCCGCACTGGAGGCGGGAGGGAGCTCGCCATCGCTCGGACGTCCACTCCCCGCGCATGCTCGCGATCCCGCGCGCGTGCAGCCACACCGTATCATCAGGACGAAGGGTCAGAGAAAGGGAACGAACAATGGCATGACAATACAACTCCGAGATCCGCGCGGAGTTCTCGGGTCCGCCCCGATAAATGTGCGCGGACATCCGAGTTCTTGTTTATGTTTACGCCAATCTTCGTTCCCCTGAGGATATCCGGAGGAGGCAGGAAGGAGCTCGCCGTCGCTCGGACGGCAACTCCACATGCATGTTTGCGATCTCGCGCGTGTGCCGATAAGGATGCAAGGGCCTTGGAGGGTTAGGTCGGGCCTGTCCCCTATAGGGGGGTTTGGGCGAGAAGGAAAAAATGCTCACCAAATGGTCAAACATAGTCAAACAAAATCGTCCTCTGACTATGTTTGACTATTTTTGAATATCTCCCCTGTAGAGAGACAGGCCCGACAAAATTGGAGGGTCAAGTCAGCACTTTGCGGGCGGGGCGCGGCCAGCGAGGGCGGCCAAGACTGGCCAAGGGTACCCTCGAGAAGGCTGTCCGTCATTGCAATGCATGTCGACCGTATTATTCGCAGGATGTTGAGCAGTGGCCGACCGTCCTGGCATTTCTATAGGCCTGCGACGACATGGCTTTAGAGTCTAAACATGTTCTAAGAGCAGAAAAGCTTCCTTTTTAGCATACAACCGATGTGTTAAATCAAGACAATATCGGCCAGAAATGGTCTAAGAATACGTCGTGCAGACCGCAAAAGGTTCTTAGAACAGTCGTCGGTGGGCCTATAGGCGAGCCAGGACGTCTCGCCACTGCGCGAAGATGGTATCAGATGCTCGTCGACTGTCCTCGCCGAGAGAAAGCTTGCACAAGTCCGAGCGATGCCAAGGCAGAAGGCAAGGAACGAGCGAGCGCCTCCTGGGCTCGGCGAGAGACGAGCCCGGCTCCTCAGCCGAGGCCTGCCTTGGTACACCCCAGACATGGTGGTGACAACACCTGGCGGTGAGTCTCGGGCGATTTGGTGTCACCACCCAGTCTGGGGACTCGTGCGGTTTTACGAGGATGTCCCGGACACTGGTGGGCCCAGGAGTCACAAAACCCGGTGGTGACCCCGCGTCCCCAAACCCAGCGGTGACCTTTTTGGGGATTCCGGGTCGCCACCCGGTGTCTCACCACCCGGTTTGGGGGTTGCCGCATGGGCCGCCGCCGCCGCCACGAGAGGCCTCGGCCCTCCGGAGGGGCTGGCGCAGCTGGCCCAGCTCGGCTCGCCCCGCTGGGCTCTCCACACCCCGCCGCTGTGCCTGGCGCGCTCCGTCCCGTGGGTGCCGAACGCTGCCGGCTGTGTCGCGAGGATCGTCGAGGCCTTGTCCTCCTCCTCTCCTCGTCCTCCTCGTCCTCCTCCTCCTCCTCGTCCTCATCTTCCCCCTCCTCTTCCTTCTCGTCATGCTGATATGTCTCATCCCTCATACTGCTGATCCTCCGAATCCTTTCACTCCACCTCCTCCACCTCCTCCTCCTTCCCCTCATCATCATCAGCATCACCATCATCACCATCACCATCACCATCACCATCACCATCATCATCATCATCATCATCATCATCATCATCATCATCATCACCATCACCATCACCATCACCATCACCATCACCATCATCATCATCATCATCATCATCATCATCATCATCATCATCATCATCATCATTATCATCATCATCATCATCATCAGCAGCATCATCAGCATCATCATCATCATCATCATCATCATCATGCTCGTCGTCCACTTACTATTATTATTCCTCTTCATCATCATCACCATCAGCATCAGCATCATCATCATCATGCTCGTCGACCTCTTCATCATTATCATGCTCGTCGCACTCCCCCCCTTATCTTCATCCCCACCCAACACCACAGCCGGCAAGAAGCCGACGGAGACAGGCGGACAATCCGGTATGTGTTCGCCGCGGTGGTGAAGACGCGGTACGTGTAGGTTGGTTGCGGGGGGTTGTTGAACGGCGTTATCCTCGGGAAGAAGACGAGCAAGGTGGGTAGGAGCGGAGGCGCGGGATGGAGGGATAAGGACAACGAGGAAGACGAGGAGGAGGAAAAGGAGAAACAAGGTGACGGGGAAAAGGGAAAAGAAGGAGGAAGACGACGAAGACGATGAGGACCGGGAGCGGAACAAGTGGGCATGGGAGAAGGACGACGGGAAGGAGGGAGGAGCGGGAGGAGGGAGCGAGCATGAGGAGGAGGAGGAGGAGGAGGAGAAGAGGGAGAAGGAAGAGGAGGAGCAAGACTACAAGGATAACAGGGGAGGGAAGTCTCGGGAAGGGCGGCCTCTCGCCGCCCATCCCCATCCCCGCCGCCAAGCGTCTGGGTGAGCAGGGGGGGGGCAGGCGACGGGAGGAAAAAGACCTCCCCTCTGTGTTCCTCCTCCTCCTTTCCCACCTCCTCCTCCTCCTCCCTGCCTCCCTCCCCCCCTCTCTCTCCGAGACAACGCGCCACAGGAGACAGCGCAGGGAAGAGCCCCCCCTTTGCCATCAGCCCCCCTTTCCTTGCACCTCCCCTGCCGGAAGCCGCCCCCCTCGCGAGAAGTTCGCTCTCCAGCAAAAGGGTCCGTTCCCTGGCATAGGCAGAGGGAGGGTTCATGTCCTGGCGGGAAGTGGCAAGCTCTGCAAAGTTTGTTCCCTGGCAAGGGAATGGGCTTACTGCTTCCATACGTGAGACATGTCGGGAAATCCCCAGAAGCCTTCGCAGAGGCACGGAACAGCATTGACCACCTTCGAAGGGGCACTTCACTTGTTCGCCGATGGTCGCCGAAAAACTACCGGGGAACAAACCCAGCAACACTCCTGTAGAACTTAATAATACCATTACTAGTAAGCAGTAGTAGTAGTAGTAGTAGTAGTAGTAGTAGTAGTAGTAGTAGTATTCGTAGTAGTAGTGGTAGTCGTGGAAGTAGTAGTAGTAGTAGTCGTCGTCGTCGTCGTCGTCGTCGTCGTCGTCGTAGTCGTAGTGGTAGTAGTAGTAGTAGTAGTAGCAGCAGTAATAGTAGTAGTAGTAATAGTAGCAGTAGTAGTAGTAGCAGTAGTAACTAGTGGTAGTAGTAGTAGTAGTGGTAGTAATAGTAGTAGTAGTCGTAGTAGCAGTAGTTGTAATAGGAGACGTCGTAGTAGTAGTAGTAGTAGTAGTAGTAGTAGTAGAAGTAGTAGTAGTGGTCGAAGAGGTAGTAGTAGTAGTAGCAGTAAAGTAGTAGCCGTAGCCATATTAGAAGTAGTAGTAGTGGTGGTAGTAGTAGTAGTAGACATAGTGATCTTAGGGAACGTAGTAGCAGTAGTAGTAGTAGCAGTAGTAGTAGTAATCGCAGTAGTAGCAATAATTAGAAAAAAGACGAATATGTAGTAGTAAAAGTAGTATTAGTAGTAGTAGTGGTAGTAGTACTAGTAGAGTAAGAGTAGTAGTAGTAGTGGTAGTAGTAGTGGTAGTGGTGATAGTAGTAGCAGCAAGAGTAGTAGTAGTAGTAGTAGTAGTAGTAGTTATAGTAGTAGTAGTGGTAGCCGTAGTAGTCGTAGTAGTAGTAGTAGTAGTAGTAGTAGTAGCAATAAAGAAGTAGTCGTTGTCGTCTCAGAAGTAATAGTAGTGGTGGTAGTAGTAGTAAGCATAGTGATCTTAGTAGTAGTAGTAGTAGTAGTAGTCGTAGTCGTAGTAGTAGTAGTAGTAGTAGTAGTAGTAGTAGTAGTGGTAGTAGTGGTAGTAATAGTAGTCGTAGTAGTAGTAGTAGCCATAAAAGAAACATAATAATAAGTAGGTGTAGTAATAGTAATACGCCAGTACTAGTAGTAGTAATAGTAATAGTAGCGGTAGTATAGTAGTAGTAGCAAGAGTGGTAGTCGTAGTCGTAGTAGTAGTGGAAATAATACGATCACAAAAAAACGTAGTAGTAGTGGTAGTACTGGTAGCAACAATAAAATTAGTAATCGTCGGATTCGTAGTGGTAGTCGTAGTAGTAGTCGTAGAACTAGTAGTTCTAGTAGTAGTGGTGGTAGTAGTTTCCCCATCAGAACTTGCCTTTGTAGGGGTCCTGACGGATTCATATGGTTAAGTGAGGTGGGCCACCGATTTCGGTGGCCGGCCTGGGTGCCCAGGTGCCCGGGTGCCCGGCTGACTGGGGGTTCCCACCCGCGACCCACCCGCGATCCACCCCGCGACCAACCCACATTGCTTGAATGAAAAATCGTCGCCTGCGGCGGGCTCACTGCATAACCTGTAGAAATTAGGCGCCCGCGGAAGGCTTCTTCAAAGCCGCGCAGACTGCCGACGTGCTCGCCGCCCACTCACTCTTAGCCGCAACTGTGAGGTGCTACGTAAGCAGTTCCTCCGTGCTGCACCACTGGACACGTCGTTAGGACAAGCTGGGCGCTTCGCCGTAGAAAAATTCACGCCCCATGACCCTGAAGCCGTCAAACTAGCAACAGCTGCAAGGATGGAGAGGGGGGTCAACATGTTGCTCTCGCTTGAGCGCCGCGCGCATTCCTCTCAAACATATGCCGCACCTTCACAGATGGAAAGGTGGTGGTGTTCAAAGTGGTCCTCCCGCTGTAGCACCGCGCGCTTTCTCTTCGAAATGACCTTACGGTCGCAGGGATGGAGCACAGCTCGAGTGCAAAACGGCACTACATGTTACCCTCGCTCTCGCGCGGCACACATTCGTCTCGGAATCTTGCAACGGTTGAAAAGATGGAACACACCTCGGTTTCAAAATGTGGCTCTCGCATAAGCGCCGCGTGCACGTGATTTTACATGTTGCAATCGAGTTCATGAAGGGAGTATTCGCTTGAGCGCCGCGCGCATTCGCTGTTTCATAAAAGTGTGTAAAGGATGGCAAGTTGTTTTTACAAAACGAGGCTATCGCTCCAGTTCTCTTCACTCGGAATGCAACGACGCTTCAAAACATGTAGCAATGCAAGGATTCAGCGCGGCTCAGTTTCGACATTGAGTTCCCGCTTGAGCCTTCTCCGAAATGCATGACCACAGTTGGAAATGTGCGCAACAGTCACACGGAGTGGCGCGGAGCGGTCCTTCTTCGGAAGGGGGATATTGATGGACACCTCGTTGAGCTATATGATCATAGTTTCTCGCATACCTGATTACGGGCCAGAAAGATACAAGACAGTACCTGTTCAAAGCGGGTCCTCAAAAGATGGCAAGCCCAACAGCGCTGGTCCTTCAAGGGGGAGCGCTTGTTGTAATGAGAAGGGGAACTTATAGAGACCTGCGAGGAGGCGCCTCAGGACCAGAGGAGGTATTGCAGCACCGATGAGCATTTTGAGTGTGGTCTGGTCCTCCTCCTCTCCTCCTGGAGGAGCCTGCCCCATAGGGCATAGCTGTCTAAAGTAGGGAACCGAATTCTATACACCGATGCCTTGTTTCGGTCCCGCACTGAGATTCATACAAGAAAACGGATTCTGGTGTATACGGCATCCTGGTGTATACATTTTCCGTTGCTTCCACGGGAAGACGGGGGAAAAAAATATACACCACACCACCCCGACGTCGCCCCCGACCCTCAAAAAAGTCCTGGGATTGAAAAACAGCCCACCACTGGTAATGAATACGTTCCAGTTTCCGGTAAAGCTTCGAAACAAATCGGTCCTGTTGCCCCCGTCCTCCTGAGCTCCGCCATATCGTGAATTCGTGCGCGACGCTCGTCGGCTCCAGCCTTCCCTCCCCAGCCTCTCCTCCTGCCGCCCCCCACCATCATCCTACCCCCCCACAGGCCCCCCGCCCACCAAAAGAGGAGCCCGACACTTCCAGGAGCCTCGGTCCTGCTCCCCCCCCCCTCCTCGTGGCTTCGTGCATGACGCTCTCGGACTGAGCCCCGCCTCCTCCTCCTCTGCGTCGTCGCCCTCCTTCCAGAGGGAAACCGAACAGGGAAACGCACTCCATGCACCGAGTCCTTGTTCCGGCCCTGCGCTGAAATCTGCACACGAAAACGGATCCTGGTGTGACTATTCGGGGATGGACAGAACCCGCTTTGGTCAAACGTGGTTTAGTGAAAACGACCTCGGGCCCAAACCTGGCGGGCGAAAGCCTGGACAATGACGGCCGCGGCGCCGTCTCGAGAACCGAAAACGGACAATTCACTAATCGACGTGTCAGGGTGAGGGTGCTGTCCACCCCCGAAATATACGGGCGCCTGGTGCATACATGTTCCGGTGTTTTTCCCCGGGAAGCGGAAACATAAGTATACACCACGCCACCCCAACGTCGCCCCCGACCCTCAAACAGCCTGCATCCTGGGCCTGAAAACCAGCCCGCCACTGGTACTATATATGTTCTTGTTTCCTACCAGCTACCATACACGGCATAAACATAGAGTTTGGGAGGTCCGCGCTGATCTCTTGGATCGGCGCTGGACTCCCCTCCCTGGCGCGCTCCGCGCGCCAAGGGCGGCGCTGGAGGCGCCGCCAGGCGGCTCTGGCGCCAATCCGAGAAGACCGCGCAGAACAACGAAAGTGCGTGTATGCAGATCTTGTCGTCGGTCCTCCTCGTCAGCGTCCTCCTCCTCCTCCTCCTCCTCCTGCTCCTCCTCCTCCTCCTCCTCCTCCTCCTCCTCCTCCTACTCACCGCAAGGCCAAGCCTGAGCCCAAGCCACGAGCTGTCGTGGGTGTTGGTGTACTCTATCTGGATCACCAGCACCATTCCGTTCTCCCGCCGCGTGCCCTCGCTCTGGCGGAGAGGGGGGGGGGAGACAGCGAGGAGGGGCATAAGGAAGGGCGAGGAGAGTGGAGGAGCCCTCCTCCCCACCCTCCTCCCCACCATCCTCCTCCTCCGCCTCCTCCACTCCTTCCCCCTATCCTGTCGCACTCCGAAGTCAATCGGAAGGGCGGGCTGGGCGTTTCGCCTGGGACACCCCTGCAATTGATGGTCCTGGCGCGTAACAATTGGCAACAGCTCCTCAAAGGGAGGGCGGGTCGTTTCCGACATGCGGCTCTCGCCGTAGCGCCGCGCACACTCGTCTTGGAGATGTTCAAGCGTTCCGCGGATTGAGGGCGGCTCCTTTTCAAAATGTACTCCAGATTTCGTAATAAAAGGGAGGGGGTCTGAACCCTCCAAGACAAGACATGTCAGACCTCCCCCGTGGGAGATCCCTCCAAAGCATCGTCCCCAGACCCCCCCAGGCCCTCCAAGATAGCTTGGAAGAGACCCCCCCCCCCGAAATGAGACCCCCCTCCCTTTATTACGAAATCTGGAGTAGCCACATGCACGGCTTTCACGGATTCAGGGAAGGTCGTTGTCAAAACGTGGCTCTCGCACTGGCACCGCGCACACTCGTCCTAAACAAGTTGCAAGAGTTTGGCGGGTTTGGGGCGGGTCGCTGTCAAAATGCGACTCTCGCCTTCGCGCTGCGCGCTTTCGTTTGAAAAAAATGTCCGAGAGCTTCACGGAGTAAGGGCAGGTCGTTGACAAAATGAACAAACAAAAAACGCAAGAGCGGCATGGATGGAGGTCGGTTCCTGTTCAAAATGTAGCTCTAGCCTTAGCGCCGCGTGCACTCGTCTCACACATGTGCAAGAGTTCCACGGCCTCCCATGGCTAAGGAACAAGTCTGTGCATTCTAAACAGATTGAGGCCTGTCAGGGCTCAACAGGTAAGTTGATTCGCGATGTTGAGATGCTGTTGAAATGCAAAGAATTCCGCTCTGATGCGATGCAGGATCGTCATGACGCAACAATCAGGTTGATTATTGGCGTCGAAGTCCGGAGAATAATTGTCTGGTGCGCCTCAGGACCTTCAACCGTTTGTCTCCCAACGGGGCAGTTCCCGCAGTGGAAATGAACCCTTGTCGGGGCCTGTGAAGAGGAAGCTTAAGGGGAGGGTAAATCCCAGCATCGTTAATGAGTCTTGGGTTTACACAGGTCCTCCTCGATCTCCCCGTCCTCATCCTCCCCCCCTTCTCCTCCGCCTCCTCCTCCTCCCCCCCCTCCCTCCGCCCCTCCTTCTCTTCCTCCAAGACAAGGATGTTGATGAGGATGCGGAGGGCGAGGGAGGAGAAGTGGGGAGAGGAAAAAGTAGGGAGAAGGGCCGGAAGGAGAGAGGGGAGAGAGGGGAGGAATGAGGAGGCGCAGCAGGGGGACGTGGAGGAGGACCACGGCGGAAGGAGAGGAGAAGGAGCAAGAAAATCCTGACGCTGCGAGAACGCGCTCCCACGGCATGCCCAGGGAAAGCGAGAGGATCAGCATGAGGGCTGATTCCAGGCCGCTTGGCGAGCGCAAGGTCGCAACCTTCCGCCACGAGAGCGGCTGGCCCCCGCGGGGCCGCCAGGGGCACCGGAGGTGGGAGGGCAGGAGGAGAAGGCAGAGCGTTGGGCGTCGCTTACAGGCAACGCGCATAGCAAGGACGCGCGCCTTTTCTAGGGGATCCTTGTGCCCTTGCCTCTGCGGCCCCTCGCGGATTAGGGTGCCCTTGCGTCCCTGGGGGCTTGGCCGCCTGCCGCCCAGCGAATCCCAACATCGGCCTCCAAAGGTCTGGCGTCCTTACCGCCCGTCCTCGCTACACGTTTTCACTGCAATGGGGGGCCGATGCACGAAGGGGGGGGGGGGAAGGGGCACTGCCAGGGCCCTCAAGGCCCCCTGTTTGGACCCGAAAGGGCCCCCCTCACGGGCCCTAGATAGAGGGGCCCATTGCTGGAGCCCTCGCCGCCCCCCCCCCCCCCCCCCATTCATCGATCCCCCGTATCGCGACGCCCAAGAGGAGGAGGAGGAGGAGGAGGAGGAGGAGGAGGAGGAGAAGGAGGAGGAGGACGTGGACGTGGCGCGCTATTCTTGCGTGGTCCTGGGTTCAACCAAACGTCGCTGGACGTGGCGCGCTGTTCTTGCTGGCCTTGGGGGGAGGTTTCCCGTCGTCGCGGCCCGACTCCTCTCGAAATGCTGGCCTAAGCACATGACTTGAGGTCTGGAGGAGGAGGAGGAGGAGGAGGAGGAGGAGGAGGAGGAGGAGGAGGAGGAGGAGGGAGGAGGAGGAGGAGGAGGAGGAGGAGGAGGAGGAGGAGGAGGAGAGGGGGAACGGAGGTTTAGTGGATGGGGAGGGGCAGACGGACAGACGAGGAGGAAGGAGCAGCGAAGAAGGGGGAGGGAGGCCGCAGGAGTACCGGCACAACTCCGCTCCGACAGCCACGCGAGCGACAAAAGCAAACGGGCCTTGCGCGGGATGGCACAGCGACATGACGAGTTGGCTTAATTCTGCGGTCCGCCAGCGCGAGACGCTACCAGTGGTGAAACGAGGGCGCCTACGCGCGACCTCACGCGGGAAGCGCACGCGCGCAAGTCCGTGCAGACGACCCCGTTGCTCTGCGTCGCTCACGGTGCCATCGCGCTGGGCCATCGGTACCCGGGCTGCGCCTGCCCTGCCGGCCCTGGCTCTCCCCAGCCCCGGGCGGGGGGCTACCCCGCCGCAACCGTGGCATGACCGAGGGACTGTTCCATGGCTTCCCGCTCGCAGACCTGACAGTCTGGTCAGTGATTCTCATCATCATCCTCCCCCTCCCCCTCGTCCTCCTCCTCCTCCTCCTCCTCCTCCTCCTCCTCCTCCTAGCCCCTGCTCTGTTTGCATGATCGCGCGCGTGATCGCGATGCTACAAAAGAGCGCTGCAGAAACGGACTAAGACAGAACCAACATCAAATTTCCTGTGTAAGCAATGTAACAGCACGTTGATGCTGCCCCGCCCTCAGCCTTCTCTGGCCTCCTACGAAGGCTCATATGCTGCATAATTACCTCCTACTCTCCCCTGCTCTTCCCTCCCTCCCTCCTCCTCCTCCTCTCCCCCCTCCTCCCTCCTCCCTCCTCCCTCCTCCTCCCTCCTCGCTCCCTCCATCCTCTCCCAGGCCCCACCGATCGCCGCGCCTTGCTGGAGCCTGGCATCCAAGCGTCAGGGCCACTGCGTGCCCATTGAATTGCCTTGGTGCTCTCATGCCTTCAGATGTGAATTAGGTCGGGCAAGTCCTCATCATACAGGCGGATGCGGGAAGACAAACAAAAACTAGCGAGACAAAGAACACAAGCAATGATCAAACATAATGGAACCTGTGTCCCCTGGCCATGCTCTGACTATGATGGACTGCTCCTCGCGTAGAGGGACACGCCCCAATGAAGACGTGAGCTTGGCTGCTTGTTCGCAACCCCTCCCTTCGCGCCTCGGTTGAGTCGGGCCTGTCCCCCGACAGGCGAAGTTTGGACGGAACATACAACAAATACAAACCATGCCCCAAAGTAGCCAACATTGGATAGAAAAACAAAAAACAAAAAAACAAAAAAAACGTTCCCCGCACTATGTTTCTACTATCTCTGCACACGCTCCCTTTTTTCGAGGGACAGGCCCGACCTGCGGCATGCCTCGGGCCTCGGAGATGCTTCTTGCCCTCGCTCGGCCGGGCCTGCGCCCCCCCCCCCGCCGCGCGCCCTCCGTGGGCCTCGCTCGCGCTCCTCCTGACACAGGGCTGGGATCGGGATCAATCGCTCCAGAGCGTTCCGGAGCGCTCTCGGAGCGTTCCCCGGAACGCTCTGGAGCGGCCGCGGCGCCCCATACATCCTCCAAACCCGCCGCTTCTCAGAGATTTTTCGAGTTAAATCCCGATGCGATGTTGTCCCGCTCTTCGCGTCGTCTTACCCTCCCCCGAGGGGCCCCTCGCTCGGCCCCCGCTCGCCTCCCTGCGCCGAGAGAGCGCACGAGGCGCCGGGCGCCGGAGACTCGCGGCCGCGTCCAGGAGCACCGCGGCGGGGATCGCACGCGCGGGAGGGGCCCCCCGGGGGCACTTGGTAGTCCCCAGACGTGGTGGTGACAACACCCAGCGGTGAGTCTCGGGCGATTTGGTGTCACCACCCGGTTTGGGGACTCGTGCGGTTTTCCGAGGATGTCCCGGACACTGGTGGGTCCAGGAGTCACAAAACCCGGTGGTGACCCCGCGTCCCCAAACCCAGCGGTGGCCTTTTTGGGGATTCCAGGTCGCCACCTGGTATCTCACCACCCGGTTTGGGGGTTCCCAGGGCACGCACGGGAATGCTCCAGATGGCTTCACAGGCGTCGGGGGGGGGTGAATGGCGTGGGGGGGTGGGAAGCCGCTGCCCTTCGGGGGGCGGTGGGGAGGTTGGGGAGCGAGAGGGGGTGTGGGCTTGAGGCGCGTGGGGGGGGCGGGCAGAGGGGCGTCGGTCAGGTTGGCACGGGAGGGGGGGGGCTTGCGGACGGATCTGGAGTAGACACGGATAACAGGATTCCCCATAGTTTCCTGTATGTTCTGGGCGTTCGTCTTCCCCCCCCCCCCGCTTCCCAGGGTTTCCCTGCACTTTCTGGGAATCGGCGATTCATTGTGCCGGTGTGCTTCGTTCTCCTGCTGAGTAGGGGGGGGCGAAGGGCTTCCTCGAAGGAGGCTGCTCCTGAGAGGGCGCCAGCCCCACATCCCCGGACAGGGCCCGCGCCTCCTGGGACGCCTGCCCCCCTCCCCCTAACCCTGCCCTCCTCTGCGCGTGGCCGAAGACAGAAATCCTCCCCCCGTCTCCTCTCGACGACCCAGCAAAGAGGGCGGGAGGGGCGGGGCGGAACCTTGACGCCGCTGCCAGCCATGTCGTCCATGGAAGTGCCAGCCATTCTGATGACCGACTCCAGATCGAATCCCCCAGGCCCTCTCGTGGGCACGCTCCTGTGACAG